GGGAAGTGTCTATGAATTAGTTATTTGGAAGGAGTCCCCCAAGAGTGGGCACAAAGCCTCCCTGGGGCCATAGGAAAGTAATTTGAAAGCTTCTGATGAGAAAATCTTCCCTTCTAAAGTGGCCCTTTAAGAACACTTGCTACCTAGCCACTGGGAGCCCAGGGTTAGGCCTAGGCCCTAGGTAGCAAAGAGCAGAGCCTAAATTGACATACCAGACACGCTACCCCTGGGCCTGCTGATCACCTCCCTCAACCCTTGTCACCCCATGTCAGGAATGCAGGCCCAAGGCCTGAGGAATCTGCCTTTCTCTCTCTCTAGGTTGCTTTGCTAAGACAGAATGCATTCTTGCGCCCTCAGCCTTCCCTGGCTTTAATGCCTATAGGAGAAGTACACGTGGTTTCCATCTTGGCCCATGGATTGTGCTCCCGTATCCTGTGCTGTGTGTTTGTGCTGGCCATCTAACGTGCGTCTCGGTTTATCTAGGGATCCTTTCTCAGATAGTAGCTGGGCTGTGTGGGCTTGAATAAGGCTTTCATTTTGCTGTGTGAAATATGAGAGTTGGACTGAAGAGTTCCTGGTTGCAGTGTTTTAGACCTCGTGTGGGGGCAGCGACTCCTTCAACCCCATGCTTATTCCCTGAAAGCCCCACTGAGCCGCCCCTCTGCCAGATTCCAGGTTCCAGATTCTTTGTTTCACAAACACTGAGTTTTCCTGCTCTACTCAACCCTTCAGAACTTGGAACTCACCTGGCTTGCTGCTAGAGATCCAGACTACTGGGATGTGAATGAGGACATTTTTGCCTCTGGCTTTTGGTTTGGGGAAGAGGAGGCTAGGAAGCTTCCAGAAGCACAAAACTGTGGCAATCATGAAGTCCTGATTTGGTGAGGCAGTTTCAGTTTCAGATGATTTCATTCACTGGACACACGTTGTTGATTCTTCTTTTGTTGTTATTTTTCTGGTTTTGTTTTCGTTTTGTTTTGGGTTTTTTTTGCCCTTTACGTCCAGTAGCTCTTTGAGATCTATCGATTCCTCTGTGCTTTTCCCACCTCCACCACCAGCTAGACTAAACCTCTATCAGGTCAAAGCACTAGCCTTTGATCTCCCCGAATGCTGCTCTTGCCCTCTTTTAATCCTACCCCCTGCCCTCTTCACAGAATAAATGTTTTACTTTTTAACTTAATTTTTTTTTTATTTTAAGTAACCTCTACACCCAACATGGGGCTCAAACTCACAACCCCAAGATCAAGAGCTGCATGCTCTACCAACTGAGCCCTCCAGGCACCCCTAAAGTAAATGTTTTCAACATAAATTTCATTTGTTCCAGCGCTAAAACATCTCCCAGTGGCTTTCCATTGCCTAAGCTCTTCACTGTGACCCAAGACCTGACAGAATCTGGTCTCTGGCCTTCCAGCCACATAGGCTTCCTTTCTGTTTTTCAAAGATGCCAAAATTAGTTCCTGCCTTAGGGCCTTTGCACTGACTATTCCCTCAGCCGAGAACAATCTGCCCCCAGGTGTTAACAGGGCTGGCTCCTTCTGGTCACCTAGGTTTCAGCTCAAACGTCACATTTTCAAAAAGGCCTTCTCTGATCACCCAATCCAAAGTAGCTTTCTCCTCCCTCCCCATTCCCTAACAACTTTTCCCGATTTACATTATCCAATTCTATAACTCCACACATGTCACTACATGAAGCTGTTTGTTTTGTTTTGTTAACATTTTCCCTTTGTTTTTAATGGTTCATGTAATATAGAATGAGGCCTCCAAAATCGGAAGTGTAAAGGTTTTAAAAGAGCCCTATCTCTAGCTCGGATTACTCTCAAAGGGAGAATCCTGCTTTGTTAGGATTTCATCCTCTTTTCTAAATTTCCTATCTTATTTTTTTTAAGATTTTTTTTTTTAAATTTTTTTCTTCAACGTTTATTTATTTTTGGGACAGAGAGAGACAGAGCATGAACGGGGGAGGGGCAGAGAGAGAGGGAGACACAGAATCGGAAACAGGC